TCTGGAAATTTCGCAACATGCACCGCCTGCCTTCAGAGTCCGCTGAGGCGTTCGCGGACGCGATCGAGAGTTTTAAAAACTACGCCAATGTGACCGATGACAACGCTATCCGCGGCATGGACATGCTCCCGATAGGGCCTGCTGCAATCTGGTGGCAGAGTGCGAAGCGCGAAGTCACGTCGTGGAGCGACGTTCTTACTCGACTGAGAAGCGCATACGGCGACCGCCGGCCGCCTTACAAAATCTATCAAGAGTTATTCGCCATGGAGCAACGTGACGAAAACACGGGCCTGTTCGTAGCTAAAGTGAGAATTCTTTTATTGAAACTACCCGTGGGAGACCTTACGGAAAAGGTACAACTCGATATGGTTTACAGCCTTTTAAACCCAATAATAAGGGAAAGGTTACGTCGACAGGACTGCAGTAAATGTGCAGAGCGAGGTGAGTGCGAACCTCAACTCCCATTTCCTGATGAAAACATCTCACCCGATCTGAAACTGAAATGTCGTTACACGAATTCGACAATTCGCGCGATTACTCTGATCTCAATACGAAATGTTACCGTGAAAGTGATGTTGACTGTTCTATTAATATTTTGTTCGTGAGAAACTCCGAAGATCAGTGGACAGTGATGTCTCAGGTAGACCGGAGGATCGGAGGCAAAAGTAACCATTTTTACGCACGCTTCGATTATAGAACTGCTGTAAGGTATCCTTAAAACATTTCCCGTGTAAGGTAAGGCAAATATATTTGGCTACAAACATTTGTTCGTGATTATTCGATATTATACTTTGAAAATGTATATCTTAAAGGTTTTGTGAGACGTGGGAATTTGTTACAAATGCTCCCTACCCCGGTACAAAAGTAACACCATTTCAAACCAATAAAACGCAGCGAAAATATAGAAAAGTACGAATGTTTTTATTTTATAAAAGCAACCTCATTTCAGTATTGTTTTAATGAGATATGACACTATTAATTATACAGACAATTAAAAACATGTAAAAACAAACAAAAATAGTATAGTCTTAATTGTTATGACCAGGAATTTGAAATTTAGCCAGAAAAACTTGTATTAATATACCTAATCTAAACACAATTAGCTTAAATGCAAAATTTCGTACTCGAAAATTAGTTTTTAGTTTGAATGAGATGTTGTTTGTGACAACTGCTCCCTCTGTTACAATTACCCCTAAAATATCTGTTATTATATCACAGATTACAATATAATAATGTTTGCAGACTGTGTTCTAAGGAAGGGCTTGTCCGTAAACCTGTGCTTTTATTCTTAGCACTTCTCCTCTGCCTGCGGTGCAAACGGAATTGTAAACATAATAATAATAACGCACACACTCAAAATAGCCCCGCACTAGGGAAACCCTGTGTCGCAGGTGCCATGGACACACACATAGACAACCACAAATTACACTCAAACTTACGAGAGAAATAAATGTAGGCCATACAAATATTTCTCCCGGCCTGGGTATCGAACCCAGGACCAGGACCTTTGCATGGCCGTCCGGCATGGTAACCGTTCGACCACGGAGGCAGTTAAGGTAACAGAAGGTATCTATTCGTATTAACGATACTGGAGCATTTTCACAATGTCCAAATTAATTTTAATTTTTTTTTAAATAATATGCTGTAATTAAAAGGTGTGTTTTTTGTCGTTTGTGCTGTGCATAGAACTATTTAATAAGTAAATAAACAATTTATTTATTATATATCTTAAAACTTTAATATTTGGACTTGGTGGATTTATAAAACAATATAAAAAAATATTATTTAAGAAATGCTCACAGGGTCAACTGTAACAGTGGGTCAATTGTAATATCACAATTGCCTCCGGAATATATGTTACAACTGCACCACTGGACGTATTGGAGAAGAATATTCATTATCTTCAAAACTACGTAAAATACATACACACAATATTACACACCACAATACCACAACCTTTGATCTTTTAGAAATCTAGCTATCATCTTACACATATAAATTCTTCGTTAAAAGTCCAATAATTTGTGTTTAAAAATCAATATATTCTTACTTTGAAGACATGGAAATACAAAACGACCTACAACAGTCCATCGCACCACGCGCTGCCGGCGGTCGACTAAATACAAGACGGAACGTGTCTTAGGAGTAAGTACACATGCCAGCAGATCAAGCTACACATTGACGTATCTTGTTCCGTTGTTCTGGACTCGATTATCGAACAAAAATATGTAGTCCGATGTGCCGTTGTCCGTACAATCACACGCGCGTAAAAACGACTGACCGTTTTCGAAATATAGACAATATTTCAATTGCCCCCTGTTACTTTTGCCTCCGGTCTACACTATAAATTGTAATTATAATATTTTTTTTTATAAAACTTTCCCCGGTGAAAACACCATCATCATGTTAAAAATATAAATTTTCTCTTCCTAAACAGAAGGGTAATACACTTCTCGCGGACAGGTATACCTTCTCGCGTATTAAGCATCTTCCTGATTTTACTAGAGGTGCAATTAAATGAGAAAGTGATAAAAAACCCTTTTCCAACTTTATCAAAGGCCGAAAACACTGAAAATAGACTCTGCCCTAGTGGTTGAGGTGGTAAATGATTGCTATTGCGATTGTTAATACTTTGCCGATAACCGCGGCATTAAATATATAAAACATGTTTTGAACCACGTCATTGGCTTCGTGCCCCTACGCCAACGTTCTTGGGAACAATGAAGGTGTGCAGCAATAACCGCCGTATCTGTTGGAGAAATTGTTATCTAACAATGATAACAATTTTCAGCCACGAGGATGCATCCTCCAAAGAAATTTATGAAAAATGTTATGAGGAAATGGAGATGATTAAAGAAGATGCTATAAAAGTTTGTGAATTCTCTTGGTGTTCGCCGGCTCGTTTCATGCCTAAAGCTAACGGCAACTCACGCTTTTTCCCAGGTTAAAAACGCCTAAAGACAGACAACTAACAATGTCGCGAATAGATTAACTGCTTCAATCACAGACCATATTGGCTTCAATCTACAAAAAGAGACTGTTACCGTTACAAAATTTCAGAAATTTAGGCAAATATAACGCGAAGCAGCTTATTCCTTATCATGGTCGAAATAATACTACTCCGGTACCTGTAGTACCCTTGCAACAAAGTAGCCATACTCGGCGAATGAGAACGCTTAACTTCGAGTTGGACAAGCAAGGGGAACTACTTTCGCCAGTCCATCCAAATTCAAATTCAAATTCTTTATTTGCCAAGTCACAAAGCTCGTAACATTTAGCACGTCAATAGTAGGTACAAAATATCTTATCAAAGTCATTTACTACTAACATTTAATATTACCTATAACTAACGTACACACTCAACATACATTTTAACTGCCTCCGTGGCCGAACGGTTACCATGCCGGACTGCCACGCAGAGGTCCCAGGTTCGATTCCCGGGCCGGGAGAAATAGTTGTATGGCCTACAATTATTTCTCTCGTGAGTTTGGGTGTAATTTGTGGTTGTCTATATGTGTGTCCATGGCACCCGCGACACAGGGTTTCCCTAGTGCGGGGCTATGTTGAGTGTGTGCGTTATTTATTAATGAATAATTAATGAATAATGAATAATACTACTAGAACTAAATTCAAAGATTTGCACAATATACACATAAATGAAAATATTATTTAATAATAATATATTGTAATGAAATAAATCGCTTAAGTAATAAATCATTAATAGATACATTAAATGTTATAAAATAATGAGCATTTTTTTGAATGCATAAGGTCAAAATATTCTTTAACTTTATAGAATGCATTTTCAATTAATTTTTTTTTGAATTTTGTTTTGAATTCTAATTCGGGCAATTTGATGACGAGGTTCGCTCACAATGAACTGCAAAAGTATAGCATGTCAATCCCTAGACGAAGTTCCCGAATTTCGCCAGGACCACTCGAACACAAATGACATGGGCCGTCAGCTCTTTAATGTACATAACGTGGCCTACGAGTGCTTACAGATGTGGCGAATGCGCCGTGAACGCATTGCATGTGCGTTGTGCGCGCGTTGCTCGTATATTGCAAGCGCGCTGGTCGCGTACTGCATGCGTGCAATTAAATACATGTTATTATACAAGGCGAACCGAACGGCATGCGAACGATCGCACATTGTCATGCTTGTATGCAGCTCGCGAGCCTTTAGCAAACAGGCGCATTCGATCTGTACTCACCCGCATGCAAGGGTGCGATATATGGTCATAATGAAAGACACCCAGTAACGTCCGTCTTAGCGTCCTCATCCCCACGAGTCCGAATAATCACTTTTCAGGAGCGCGCATCTTTCTCCGAGTTCCTGTATGAATAGTATTTACATGAAGTTGTACTTTATGGAAATGACTCTGCCCCGTTTTAACAATAAATACGCACAGTTCAACCAACAGTTTTATTTCATTCAGCCTGCTTAAAACGTATTTTATTTTGTTCCAGAACGACACTGTGATGAACTTAGACGGTGAGTTGATTTTTTACATTTATTCAAAGTGCCTTTAAACATGATTTACTGGTAAGTGTTGTGAGAAACACAAAAGGCAAAAGATTCCATTTGCATTTGTAGAAATTACAGGCACATGAGGCACAATGTATGTCTCAGGGTATCGGTGAAGTGCCATTCAGAGCTTAAAACCACAAAGATCTGAGGGGCACTGCCACTGCGCCCGTCGCCCTGATACATAAAGTTGACAAGTCCCCTGTACCTGTAATTCAGTAACAGCAGAGCTCCTTGCTAGCTCCTTGTGAAAGAGTTCATCCAAGGAAATACTGCCACCTTACCTATTTCTGCCGCCAAGCAGTAATGTTAACAATGTTGTGTTTCGGTTTTGAAGAGTATGGGTGCTGGTGAAATTACAGGCACACGGGTCTTGTCGACTTATGTCTCGAGGTGATAGGCGCAGTGGCAGTGCCTCTCAGATCTTTGTGTTTTAAAGCTCTGAATGCACAACTTGTTCATCCCATCACTTGGTTTTATTGTCACATATATTATGTTTTCTCACTTGGATTGTATTTTTTATACATTAACATTTTAGTAAACAACACTGAGCTTTGAACAAATATGAAACAATTTATGTATGAAAACTGTACATTGACATACCACTTTAACTATTACCTATTAGACTATACAATCTGTTTCAAAATCCCTTGTCTTATCAAAGTTTGACACTCAGAAGTGGGTAGAAAATGTCTACTATTCTTCTTTAACATTATCACATCACCATCTTCTAACTCTAACTTGCCATAGTCTACAACACAAAGCACTTCAATGTATAAAGATTTCGGAGGCTTTAAGTTTTCTGTTAAGTCTATGCCACTATAGCCGATGTCTTGGCCCAAAGATCTCATGTAGGAAGCTAAATTTGTGGAATATTTTGAGAACCAATTGTATTCATCATCTGAAAGTAATTCTCGTACATCAGGTGGTAGCACAGAACCAAATTCCCAACGCAATGTTTTGATCTTCTCCATCCGAGTGTACAGGTATGCCAGTAAACAACGCTTGTTGCGTTCCAGTGCGGAGTGTCGTACTTGTACTGCAGCCCAGAGAGATCTGTTTTCTGTAGCATTACTGAAAAAGAACAAAAAACAATTTAAGAACGTTTTTCAACATGTTCATTATGTAGAAAACAATAATGATGCCAAATTATACTCACGCGTCATTCATATTCAGCTTGAAAAGCAGATGCATTTCTTCTAAAATTTGCCGGATTTTCTCATCCTGAAATGTAAAATATTATCTTGGATAACATGTTACTAAAATTACCAGTGCCATTAGTAAGTTCTTAATTCTCGAATGCATTAATTTAAACTTACCTTATTATTTATTTTGCGACATATTGTAAGAATGAAACAAAAATAAAAACAAAACAAAAAGGCTGTATTACAAAAAATTTACTTACATTAAACTGGTCAATAGTGTCATGATTTCGCTGTGCTTCTTTGAGTAATTCTATTACTTTGTCAGCGAACATTTCTTGAATTCTCCCTAAAAACTGTTCACAAACAATATTATTTAGACAAAACAGGCAGTTAACACTTTTTAGATTGTGTTGGGCTTTAACATTTAAGAGTCTAACATGTCACAGAAGTTTTATGCAAACACTTCGCACAATCACTTTACTGGCTATGCATAATAAAAACACTAAATTTATAACGGCGCGCGGTCTAAACTATTTAAAAATAATAATTTATAACTCGTAGGCGAACTGTGCACGATAAGGCATCAGAATTTATAAAAATATAAAACATCTGACAATTGACACTAAATTAACAAGCAGCTGATAAAATTCGGATACACAACAATTACTGTTAAAATCCGCCAAAGTTGATTGTAAAATGGATACTAAATGGTGGTGTTAAAAAACCATTAAAATTCTTAGCAATTGCCATTTAACAAAAATGCCAAAATTCATTATTACTGCAATTAACTAAAGTATGTACCGCAATATAGAGAGGATCTTTATTCAGTTTGTCAGATTATGTGACGCATAATTGTACTTTTGATAAGTCTATCTTTATCGAATGTAAGACGCGTTTAAATCAATAATATATACTACCTAAGGCTATGAGCAAAAATACTGATTTGTGTAAACATAGACTCAGGTTGTATTTTGTAATTCTGGCGCCATTCGTTGAAAGCGCGCTGCGCTGGTGACAAGAACTAACAAGAAAAAAGAAGAAAAAAGAGAAAATAATGTTTGAAGAAATGAAATGTAAAAAATATCTACTTTTCTCTTGCGATAACTTTATATAATTCTGCCGTGTGGATAAGGATCCAACTAAGAAAAAATAAATATATTTACAGGTCGGCCATTTTTACTGATACAGCAATATACAGAACAATATTTTTGAAAAATGTCGCTTTCAACTAACGGCGGCAGATTTATATAAAATACAACCTGAGTCTATGTGCACACTGGAAATGGCGCGGGCGGATTAATATTCTTAGTCATGTAATGACTAATGTTATTAATCCGCCACACCATTTCTAGGGCATGTCCTTCCCACTAACAAAAGCGCACAGAAGGCGGCGCTATAGTCGCATTCGCCTCGTAAATTGGACAGTAACGCCCCCACTTGCATCAGTCGGAAATTGAGCTGCTTAAAGCGTTAACGTGTGCTATATATGTGTATCCGAACTAAAAACATTTCGTCATCGTAGAATTTCCAGTTTTCCACTCGTAGGTTTGCTTCTGCGTTGGTGATTATTTTCAATCATTGCGCACGCGTTTTTGCTTTAAATCGGGTGTTGGTTCGCGACGTTAACTTTTTATCAAAAGATGGTTCTGTGCCGCTAGCTAGTTAAAAACAAACAGTTATCGTATAGTTTATCGTTGACCTTATTCATAGTGTAGTGTTACAAAAATGAGTGCCAACAAGGGTTTTGATACGAAAGTCGAATATGACGACAACACAGACTCGGGCTTCCTGTCGGGGCCTATCGACAGGCTGCCGGATCAGGTAGAGGAGGAGTGTGATAGTAAAATAGTGGAATGTGAGCCTGACCCGAATGATTTGGACAGCGGACTGGACCTGTGCATCTCACAGCGGCTGGACTCGTTGCATCTTGAACACTCGACGCCCACGGCTCTGCCGCCGCCTAAGGTCACTGTTACCGAGGAACTGCCGCCGCTCGCCATACTCTTCCAGCAGGACGACGACGGAGACACGTAAGTCATTTTTATGCATTCAACCTCGATAATTATAATTTCTAATCATTCGTAAACTCCACTTCAAAAATTCATAGACACAATGCATAGACGTTATTCTCAAACGCTTAATATAAATATAGCTTAATAAATCCAATTGGAATATCTATTTGTTGTTTTATGAACATCTGTGTTCTTTCATATAGTAATATGTAAATCCCTTAGAGAAACTTAAGGAAAAGCATCAATGTACATAAGCCATTAATTTACATATCTCACATACAAAATCCTAAGTATTTTTTTTTACAATATATGATTGTTAGGTCTACATACAACCTATGACATTTGTCCAATCATGTTATTTAATTATTCTGATAACTTACATGAGAATAAACCACGTCAATACAGACAGTCTATCTGGTTTTCACAACTGATTACAATAGAGGTCATGTGGTTACACATTATACATTTCTTTAGATTAAAACTATATTTAAATTGACCTACACTTGCAATTATAGGGTAAATACATTTGTTGAGTGTGTGTGTGTGATATAATAATCAAAGATGGGTGCTTGAATCCACTTAAACTTAATTTATTTTCACATCTTAGACTATTGCAAGAATTCTATTTTCATATTTAATGTTACCTTACATTTGTTAAACTGGAATTCCCTGTCATTGAATTAGGTTTTTGTTATCATTTTATATTAAATTGAAAACCAATAATTTGTCAAATATTCCTTTAATTAACAATGAGGTCATTATCATTAGAGAAGTATAAGAATAGTTATTGGAATAAAACATCATTGTTAGTTATGTATCTATATTATGTAGTACATTAAACTAACTATTTTAAATAAAACTAGAAGATAGGACATTACATACAAACAAATAAATATAAATGTGAAAGTAAACCGCTGAAATAAATTTGATTTGAGGAGCCAGCAGGAGGGGATGAAAGTTTGTATTGAGAACCAGTCATTTCTCAAGTCAGCAGTACAGTAGACTACTCGAAGTACTTATGTATGTACTCTATGCAGATGAAATTGCAGGCACCAATTGGTATGCTATTTGTTTTAAAAATTGCAAATAATTCCATGAAAGAAGAAAATGAAGCAGATACGTAGGTACTCCTTTTTCATGTCTTTTTCTTATACTTCTTGCAAAAGAACAAATAATTTAACTGTGTGAATGATTTTTACGCACAAAAAATCTTTCATAAAATACATTTAAATGACTGTTAGTTGTTAAATCAATCATCCTGATAATTACTTCCTGCTCATGTTAAAAACAAAATTGGTGTTTGCTTACTCAGAGAATTATATTAATATACACTTGTATGTATATGTATTTATATTATGTGTATTTGTATATAATGTTAACAGGCAATTAGAAAGAAATATTATTGTATTATTTTGTAGTACACTAATTCCAGTAGCCACTGCTGGAGTAGATGGTATCTGTCTAACAGAACAAAAGAATTATTATGATATTGTAATAATCCACTGATTGAGTACATAAATTAGTTGTCAAAATATGGAAGACCACAAAAATGTAAAGCAACTAAGTATTTTTAAATGTCCAATGTCATTATTGGTCATTATGTGGTTGGTCATAATGTTATTAAGAATGAACTATTTGTATGTTCAACTGAAATGTATCAAAACTCTGACTTTTCATAGTCATTATGTTTCTATGAATATTCCGTCCATTCATTCAATTATTCCAAAAGCCAATGTATTGATCAACCCATGCCAAAGCAGGCAAGACTATATAAAATACCTATTTCACAGACAACTACACATTGCCGCAGTCCACGGCTGTCAGAGATCAGTCAGCACGCTTATCAGGGTGTGTCCAGACAAATACTGGCTGGACCTGCCCAATGACTTCGGGCAATCAGCGCTGCATCTCGCCGTGACGAGCGGCAACGCCATCGTCGCCAGGATGCTGGTGCAAGCCGGAGCCTCCCTCGGTGTCAGAGATCTCGACGGGAACACGCCCATTCACGCCGCAACAGCCGCCAAGCATGTCGATTGCCTGCAGGCGTTACTAGCCCCCATCGACAAGAACAGTGTACCTAAGCAGCTTTTAACGATACTGAATTTGAAAAATTACGATGGTAAGTCACTTTCTTTTTTCTGAAGCCCTTGTGTCTGTTTTTTATTTAAACTCTTTCTGCATTACTACTTCTACAATACCTATTGAACTTAAACTTTATGAGGTCGATTCGTTCGTCGGTTCGTTCTAAAATTAAGGGTACTTAGTGCCAGTGCCAAAGTTACATGTATTCCTCACCTTTAGCACCACGACGTTCACGTACCGAGTCGTTAAATAAAGTAATATTACTACGTACGAGCACTGAGACGCGTAAAAAATTATCGTCTCATCTGTTCATTGATTTTATCAATAAACCTACGACGATGCTCATAACGGATACGTTGAGCGAATGTGGTTTGCCTTCGTCGGGTGGCATTGTCCTAAGAACATCCGGCGATTTGCACGCAACGATATAAAAAATACGGAGACTCTCTAGGATGTAAGTGTATTGAATGGTAACTAGGTTCATGAAATGAAACCAGTTTACTCCTTGACGGCACGCAGCGCGGCGTTGGACATTGTTTACGTGTGAACACTCGCCGCCTGCGCCTGCGCTTAGGCCCGTGCCTCTCAGTGACGCGCGCCAAGGTCTCAACTAAGCTCAATGCCAGCCCCGTCTCGCCTCTCAACACCATTGACTCGTCGCGATTTTGTGAAATATTTCAAACCGATTCTATGAAACGGCTTCGATGGCGGCGGCCCCACTAAATGGTGCGGAATTCCCTGCCTGTGTAAATTACATTAAAAAGACGTTAACCAGTCTCAAGATATATGTTGGCACGTTCGGTTTTCCCAAATTATTATTCGAACATTCTCGCAACGTTCTAGCGTCAAGCGCTATTCGTTATAAAGCTTTGTTGGTTGGCGTTGTCTTACAGATCTAGTTGACCTCACAGAATAAGCCGTGTCTGTAATTATACTTTTCAGATATCAAAGTTGTTTGACCGGGGCTTTAGGTATGTTCGGTTGCCTGCGGTGGGCTGGGTTTTCCCAGTGATGATGTGAGGAGGGTCGCGTAACGAGCACGCTCGCTCGCCGCGCGGTGAAAGCAGCTGCGGCGGCTGCGTGCCAACTCGCTTGTTCAACACATCTCGGGATACCCGACCGATTGTTCGTCCACTAATTAATGCGCTGTTACGTGTATGTTAAGCAGTTGGTTTTCCCGCAACATTTCAATATCCAATAAATGTCGCGTTTTACATACTCATCGCATTGTGCTTTAGACGCAGATAAAGGATGTTTAAGTAAACACTGGAATGTAGGTCGCAAAAAGTAAACTCCACAAATCTGGGAACGATTTAAAAAAATCATAGTAAAAAAGCATAAATGGAGTGTGGCGGTGAAGGAAAACCGCAGCCAGCCTTAAGCGCCTCGGTAATTCCGCGAAGGGGCTAGAACAATAGTCTGTGTGGCGAATCTGGGGTTACCCCGCGTGAAAGTGCACTGCGATGCATTAGCCCGCGCGGAATTCCCAAATGGTACTTCTATGCGATACTGTTACGTGACGCTACTTTCTCTCGTCAGATGCGAATCGCCGCAATCTACTACGGCTCCCACTTGTTTGAGATCAGTGTTACACCGCTGGTTTAACATTTCTCAAAGATAATAGTTCTAAAATTAACTAATGATGTGGTCAAACCTGTTTCCAAACGAACACAGTTATTTTTAGAAATCGTACCGGATTCACCACGTTACCAAAGGATTAATGATCACTTAGGTATAAATGTTAACCAGTGATTAAAGTGACTGACAAGTAAAAACCATAATTCGGATAGCTTGCAAATCACTGGGACTTGCGTCGTTGGTATTTCCACAAACTCAACGGAACGATTCTTTCGCGCTCACAATCTTAAGCCGCGATAAAACATTCTTAATTTCAATTGCGCTTCAATTTATGTATAAACAGTATATTATGTTATGAATTGCCCCCTCTTAGCAATGTACTTAAATTAATCGCTGTCTTACGAACGAGTTTGCGAACAAGGCATGGCGTAATTTAAACAAAATCATCGTAAGACAGCCGATTTGTTCCTCCCTCATTATCAAATAACGAATAAGGAAAAAATCATTGGAGGTAAACAGTATGACAAGGCCATTAGGGAAATAAACACGGCTAGTGAAGCGCAAAGGTATTGTAAACGAACCGAAAACGGAGGAAAAAACGAGAGATGACTCTCGGACAAAGGCAAAAGATAGCCTTAGGTCGTTCTTGAGTGATGAGCAAAAAATGATCAACAGCGGACGCTCGGTGCGTTGTATGTTGCCGTTAAGTAATTTCACCGTCTCGCTATCAGATAATGCGGCAAACATTCGCTGTGGGGTTTTCCAACACCTGACCTGGTTGTCCAATGTTCCGGCGTAAAAATGTCAACGTATCACGTATGATTTCAATGACAGTGGAAATACATACGTTAATTTCGCAATTGTAAAACAAGTTGTAGGGAATACCAGCTGTGGACGTTAAACCTCTCTCGTTTTGTGGGTTTTATTGTGTTTATTCTTTGTTACACTAGACCATTTCGGTCGTTAGTATGGCTTTAGATATATGCACAGCCAGAGACTGTGTATGATGTAATATTTAATTAAATTTTTCCTGTGTTGCCGATTGCTAAAGCAAACAAATCTTAACAAATGATATAACTAAAACGCAAACAGAAACAGAGCCGGGAAGATTTGAGTGGAGAGCGTTTACGCACACGAGATAACAATAAATAGATCCCATTTGCAGTAATTTATTGAGTTGCTTTTTATGGCGACGCCAAGTCTCAGTCTTACTCGTGGCAACTTGGCATATATTGGTGTGATGAATGAACAGTGAAATCAGTTAAAATTGCCTTGGTAACATCTTAGTTTGAATGCGAGGCATTAAAACACGGAAGAGGTGAAAATATACGAGCGGGCCATATTGGCGAGAACAGCGGCGCGGACGGGCAGCGCAGGCGCAGGCCGCAGAGTTGACCGGACCGTGCGCCACATAGTTGGGAAAACCCCATCGCCCGTCCCGCGCCGCACCGCCCCCGCCGCCGCCTGACCTCGCGTCACACAACCACTATTTTAACTCCGCACATATTTCAAGCTTCTCGTATTGTTTTACCTATTTTTATCGCCGGCATACTCGCCGCACTACTTGTACTTTAGTGCGCTTTTGACATTTAAATTATTTGACTATGTTACGTACTTAAATATGTACGTACATAGTTACTATCATAGAGATTACGCAACTCCACTGACTGCGTAGTTTTGTATTTGAGAATATATTGCAAGTTGTAATTCCCTTACCATTAAACGTTTATGCAAGACTTTAGATTACTTCCACGTGGAGGATACATGCGTGCATGTGAGCTATTATATTGCACCTACTCGTGAGGGCGGAAGCAGATGCGGTCAATGAATGATTACACACGCTTTTTGCAACCTCATTGCATTCTGCTTAGTGCTTGGCAAATTCTACGAATGAAACGAACGTTATGAAAAATCCTCATATGTATTTATTTAAACCATAATTTCCTTGGGATTCCCAGGTTCGTTAATACTTCTTAGGCAACCGCGTGACGCAAGTGTGAAATTTAAAAGATACATATAAGTAATATCGGCATAACTTTATTGTGTTTGCTGATTACAAAGATCAGATACAGCGACGTAGTGCCCAAACATGACATAAAACAACCACTTATTCCGCAAACATTAGAGATCTGCTCTGGTGCATATCTACTATCTTATATTATAGAAGTACTACTTTCAATGTCAGTTGGCAGCGTTATTCAAGATTTACGTAAAAATCATCTCCACATTTATACAATGAATAAATGGGTATTTTCGAATCACCTACATGTCTGTCCCTAAAACACCAAGGACGCTTGAGCCGCGTCTATTTTCGCCTTCGTTTAAATAAACTTGGAGTGCCGCCAATATCGGCAATCGATTATTGATGAACGTGCACGTATGATATATTGAAATTTGCTTCAATAAACTTTTTAAACATTCTATCAATTACGTCCTTTGCGAAATTCAATCGGCGTTTAGTTCCACAACTTAGATGCTATTGAGAGAGACATCCAATTGAATATAAATTGTATTTATCTACTTTTCCTTATAATAAGTATAGACGTGGGTATTGTTTAAAAACAATCATTTTTATAAGAACGTCTAAAAATACATAAAAGTTGGGAGCAAGAATGAGTAACTGAGGCGTTCTTCATTTGAGTACATTCTTGTCATATTATCCTCATCTATCACAAAAAACCACACTCTCCGTGGAAACCTTTACAGCGTAAATGGCAAACGGTAAAACCGTATGGCGCATAGCTTGGCGAGTACATCGCGTGTTTTCCTCTACTCAATCAAAAACCTATAGCACTCACGTTGGAAATTAAGATGACGCGGCGACTCGAAGAATTAGGTTTACAAACACTCATTGCTAAACCGCAAGATTGCGGAACTTATCAATCAGTTCATATCATTTCGTGCCGACCATTGGTCGAGACAAATGCCAGAGCGTCGTCGTCGTAACGTGTGTTATCGAATTAATTTCACAGGCATTGCGCAAGAACACTAGATTTTAAGTAAGAAAAATGTATTCCTAAATTGTTTCTTTGGTATGAATAAGTTTGAATCTAGAATCTCGAGCCAGAACGTAATAACTATAAATATATTCAAAACATTTAATTTTTGAGTTAACCTATATCAAAAAAAGGTGCAATCATTGAAAATTTTTATTTCGAAGTAAGACTATCTATAAATAGTCCTATTAACCTCGGAAGTTTGCCTTGTGCCTGAGGCAACTTGCTGACTCCGCGCTTCCTGTATGTACTTCGTGCATCCAAACAGAGACTTACTGAAAGCCTTGGCATTGACTTAACAATTCTTGTTTTTTTTTAATTATTGCGCGATTTATTTTATTGGTAAATTATTCTACATATACTCCATTTTCTAAAAGATTTCGATGTATTAAATTCATTTAATACGGTAAATTTTTTCTCGACACAGCGCAATGTAATGATTTAAGTGTTTTTATATATCACAATACTTATTTACAAAAAATGTTTAAAATAAAAGTAAGCACTAGTAAGGACATTCCTTTTACGTTTAAATTTATAGTTACAATTACAGACGACTTAGACCTCATCAAATCAAGAGTGAAAAACATTGAAAATTATTGTTTAATTAACTTTAAGACGTGAGTCCTGAATGCGTGCCTTCATTTTTCACACTTGTCATCTCGAGCTACAGCTCATGTGAAAATCGTTCTATCAATGCGTTAATTCATACATAATAAAGGTATACGTGGGATGATTATTGAAGCTGCATTAGATTGTACGCCTTAGGTACTCTCCATTAAGGCAAAAACGTCAGTTACGGCATTTACGGAGTCGCCACACTTATTAACACGGAATCAAGCTGATTCGGGCCAGCATAAAGCGGCAGATGGGAAAGCAGAGGATATTAAGTTTATCAACATGTTGTTGCAATTGTAATAATGTACTAATGCTCTGAAGACCGACCTTAGGGCATCACGGCGCGCTTCTCTCTACTACATTAAACATAAAATCCGCTTCGGTGCTCACCCCCGTCGTCCGCCGGTTTGCGCTGGCCCTTTCGCGTTAATAAGTGTGGTGACTCCCTTAGTGAGAAGAAAGACAGTATGTACGTTATTTAAATAGACATTATTTTAATGCATGAGTGCCTATGTGCTTGTTCCTTAATCAAGACGAATTAGTCCAACGAGTTTTCAAAATGGTATTAAGGCGCATGTTATTTTTGTGTTATATTTGTAGCTTAGAACGTTGAACTTTTATTTTTTGAAGCACTTGCGTCATTTTAGAACCGTTGATGACCGATGTGTTGTATGCAATAATTTTAGTTTCGATTTCATATTACTTTTTAATGACGCTGTTATTCACCGTCGTATCCTGAAACCGTTTTTATACTAACGGTATAATTAGTTAAGAAATTTTCGTTTATTTCATGTCTGGCTGTTCTGGTTTGTCCCCTCAGAGAACAGAATTATTTGCTCTGATATTCCTAGTCGCAAAACAGAGAAGTGTGGAGAGGGGGAGAGAGGCCTTGGCCCAGCAGTGGGACAGTATAGGCTTTTAAGAAAAATTCATATAACGAAGAAATATAACTAACCTTAACATAAGTATTACTCAACAATATCTTAACGTATAATCAACAGTACGGTCGGCTTAAATATCTGATTTAAATTCAAATACAGGCCACTTACGAGTGGAATGGCCCAAAGTGTAAAGGTTTGTTTTTATCTGTGATATAATTTAAAGTGTAATAATATATACAGTAAATTCATAAAATAACAAAGCAATGGCAGTTTGCCTTGCGCGATTCCTGGTCGTGTAACGGAGACGGAAAAACCCTTCTACGTACTCTTTAGTGGAGAATGAATCGTAACGGAAATTAATAACAAATGATATTTCAATTCTTTGCTGTTATGACTAAATCATTGAGTCATATTTAGGATGTATTGCTGTATGATCAACAAGATCGACATAGGCGAAATGTATTGATAATAATTCCCTCTGAAATCCCGGAATTACTGTATTGTATATTATATAATACAATTATGTTACGAACGGTAGTGTATTCAGAGTAAAAGTTCAGTTATTGTAGTATGGAACCCCTTAACCTACGGAGAGACGGCGAGTCTCTGTGTGTGTTCTACCGTCTTTATAATGGGTAGTGCTCTGAGGAACTTTTCGAACTGGTGCCACCGTCTCGTTTCCACCATCGCACCTCCCGCCAAAGGAGTAGAGTCCATCGCCACATCTTAGATGACTGGCATTGTAAGACCACGCAGGCATCTCGTTCGTTCCTTCCTCGAACCTGCAAGACGTGGAATGATCTTTCTCCTGAAGTATTTCCTTTGCGCTGCGACATGGGGTTCGTCAAAAAGCGTCTTTGCAGGGCTCTCAAAGGCTGGCAACGCATAGGCAGCTCATCTGATGTTGTAAACGTTCATGGGCGACGATGACCACCTCCCATTAAGTGGCTCCTCTGCTCGTTTGCCTCCTTCTTAACATAAAAAAAGTAAAGATATAACTTGTGAATTCAGAGGGAGGTATTAACCACTCTATTAGTGTATCTGGAAATTAAGTCCAAATTTCGAGTAGCCATATGAATGATAATCCAACTGAACTGTTTGTGTTATGCCCAAGCGCAGCTAATACAGCTTCCGGACAATCATTAGTATTAAGCCAAGAATTCTCACGTTTCTGAACTTAAAACTGTTTATTGCAGGTCAAACAGCAGTGCACGTGGCGGCGACGGCGGGCCACATTCAATCGCTGCAGACGCTCGTCTACTACGGAGCTAACGTCAATGCTAGAGTAAGTATATCTTAATACTCTGTCAAAGACTCGCACTGTCCCCTGCTACTCGCCCAATACGGGTTGGGAACTTCACACGTTTTCCAAGGGTTGTGAACTTTCCACTTGCAGGTTTGATTTTTTTAACAATACCAAGTGACGGGATGAACAAGTCGTGCGTCTGGTGTTAAGCGACACGCCAGTCCATAACAGTTGCAGTGCCACTCAAAGCTTTAAATCGCAAACATCTGAGGGACACTCCCACTGCGCCTATCACCCAAATAACGCTATTCCATGCAACACACACAATTTTTGGGAATGGGTTTGCTTATAGGTTGTTATGTAGACGTTCATCCACCGAGATCGTCCATCCATTGAGACCGTTGTTGAGTGAATCCGGTGCACCGGATCTTTAGGCATAGATACAAAATATATAGCAATATTTCTAACCGCTTTTAGAAATGATGATGTATACTTTTAGAGCTAGTTACAAATTATTAAAGAATAATAAAATTTTTAAGCGTGGTTGTAACATATTAAATACTAGTTTTAAGTAATTGAACATTCGTCTTTAACGCAATGACCTTATCGCAAGAAAACAGGTTCAGTATGACGTCACAGTAGTATGAGGTCATATAATGCGATGTAAACAAATATTACAATTGATTCATGGCGTTGATTGAGGCTGAAGATGGTCTGAGAAGTTATTTTATGCGCTTTTGTCTGGTCAGTTAAGTGATAAAACATTTTTTTTAAATAATTTTCAGAACCAAATGGCAGGTTGTAATTTAATGTGGAGTAATTAATATCTATTCTTAATTTATGCAGACATCTACTAGTCTTTTATTATGTACATTTTGTTAAACTTAGCAAATGCGCCTTAAAATCTGCGCCGTTAGTGGGTTAATCGAAATGATCGATGGCTGTCGACAAATTAAAGTAATACCGTAGTGTTAATAACGTACACGTATTATTAAGTACGTATACTTTAGTCATTGAATCAGCCGCTTATTATATCGTGCTTGCTTAATTTAGTTTTCCAGCTTAATTTGTGGCTTAGGTTTACGATTACAATTAGTACCACCACAGAATTAAATAAAGTATCCAGTGCCCACTCAAGACAACGGCCATTGTTAACTTGTCAAATAACTATTGATGCAGAAATCGTTGAAGTACTAAAGTGTTCCCTACGCATATGTTAAATAACGACAAGTCTGTCGTACAATCCGCACACTTAATAGTGACGTAATTGAATAGTCAACAATAGTTATTCACCTTGCGTAGATAGTGTATCAATGACAATCGCATTCCGGTCTCCTGCGTCGGCGGCGACTGCGGGAAACCCGCTCTAATCAACTGATAGCGTTATCTTCTGTACTTGGGTTTTCACTGCTATGTTTGCCCTTAACACTTTGTTAAAATTGCAGCATATGTTGACAAGCGATTGCTTCTTTCATAAGTAGTAAAAATGCGTATTGCAGACCAGAACAGAATAAGTAAGACGGGAAAAATAAATAATCGAAAAAACCAATCAATATAATATTCATTTAATCATCAAAACAATTGGCCAAATATCGATGACGTTATTACGTTGTAAGTTGTAAATCATGTTATGACCGGTACTAGGTTCACATAATTATCGTTAGAGGCAAAAATCTAAGTCCGCGGGTTTTTCGTATCACATGAGAATTGTTTTTTACCTGTTTACGAGTGTAAATTTAGGCTCGGCGGTATGTCGTATAATTTTTGGCGAGAATTGTGATGTTTAAGGAAAACACCCTTGTTTATTTGGTAATGGATATTGAGCGATAAAAATGTGTAAACAAATACAACCGGTTAGAAACGTTTTGAACACACTTCTAGAAATACAAACAATAGTATTGCAAGTCCGGAAATGAAACAGAAGTCGCGTTTGTGAACAGGAGGGGCTGGCGGGCTGGACGCCGCTGCACGTGGCGGTGCGACGCGGCGACCTGCGCCTGACGCAGTACCTGCTGGAGCGCTGCGCGGGCGTGGCGCCGCGCACGCGCGACTACGCCGGCCGGACGCCGCGCCGGCTCGCCAGGCGGAGCCCGGCCTTCGCCACCAAGGAAGGGGCCAAGCTGTTCAAGCCCGCCGCGGACGACAGCGCTTCGGAAACCGAATCCGAGGACGAGGTAACATTCCCATTTGTGTTTCGGTGAGGTGCTGACGCTCTCCTACAGGAACAAAATCATGCACGTTACAAGAAGCCCCTCTTGTAACGGTACATACGCGACGAGATCGTGACAAATTCACAGTGACCGCTGACTCTCATGTGCGACGCCAAGTTCGATATACCCGAAGCGTATGTTCGCAGCCAAAACTATAGTAGATTTGTGAACGTTTCCAACGGTAGTGGCGTGGAACATCTTGCGTGTTGACTAACTAAATATTTGAATAAGTCAAAAACATTTAGAGTAAAGCCAAACGCAAACTCGTAGTTTGTACAAGATTTCTTGTGGCTTAGGGCGACGCTCCGCCGAAACGGAGCAGGGTGGATCGGAGCGGAGCGGGGCGAAGCGAAGCACTCCCTGGCCCGAGCGAAGCGACGCGAAGCCGCCGACTGCGTCGCCCCAGGGACTCCACTACATGATAAATTATTGTACGTTCCCCTTCCGCTCCGCTGTCCCATCCCTATTTTCTGCGCCATTCTTTCACTTCTTTTTATCGAGGTAGTTTGTTCAACACGTAACGTCTGGCACATTTATTTTTTATCATCGTTGATATTTTTCTGACAAATTTCTAAATGAAAACGCTAATTAATGTTTTGCCTTGTCCACAGTACGACAGCGACGACGCTGAGAGCCTATTCGAGAAGATCCGTGGCAGCATGGCCGCGGCCGTCGTCACAACCAACTAGACGTCTCACTTGTGCGCCTGCGCAGGCCGCGAGAGCGCCAGAAGACTGCAGTACATCGCACTGCTAAAGGCTGACAAGTTACTTTAAACCCGGGATTGGGACCTACAATTGGCTTTTAACATCGACATTGGTGCTGCCATTTAAAATAAAACTTATAAATTCCTCGACGTGGCAACGGTCAAAATATAACTTGTCACCCTTCAGTCACATCACAAAGTTAAACAAACAGTAAAATAGAACAAATGTAAGCAATAGGAAACTGGCTAATATTGTAAATGAGTTTTATGAAAACGAAGTGGCCTATTTGTTGTACAGATATTTTGTAACGCGTATGAAAACTGAATTTGTAAAACAATGTTGTCCTTTTCATAATAGCTGAGTAAAAAGGATAGTAGCGTTTTGGAGCTGCGTAGGAAAGGCTAAACGGAGGCTGCACTGAGGCCTTACGGAGGCCAAAATGTCAATGACGACTTTGATTTGACAATGTGTCCTCTAGTAATCGCGATTGTCAATGACCTCTCGACCTGGTCCGTCTTGCCCAATGGATAAGATGGTAGACCTCTGATTCCATTGACGTCACGAAGACTCTCTGTATAACAGGAAATGTCAAAAATTGTTAAATATAAATATAGCAAATTGTAAATAAGTTTGTACAGAAATATAAAATGTTCCTAGAATGAGTTTATTAAATTTTTATGTGTTTTATTTTTCTGTCCAAGCTTCTTTATGTTCACCCTTTTGTATTCATATTTTGTAACAACAAATATGTAATATGTTCGATATGCAATATAATGTACGGTCAGTAAGAAAAGTGTTTACCACCGCAAGTCGAAACAAGGCATTAATTGTGACTTATCCGCCTTTTTTAGTCTTCTAAGAGATGCGTTGATATCTGTCTACAAAACATTTACTATAATTGTATAGTAAATTTTAATAATCGTTGATCTATTAAGTTGCTCTTAATTTAAAAAGTAATATGCCCTGTATTAAAATTCTATCAATTTAAGACTTATTATCAAAGTATGACTAGATGACGAGCTACGGTTTTAGTTGACTATATTCCGACCGTGAATTGGTAGTACACGTTATATTATCACTCGATACGATCCTGCCTGATATCGCACTCGATATGTGCTGTGATCTCGTGACGCGTGCGGGTTTTCCCAAACATATCCTCAAGTCCTTCTGAAAAGTAAATAACATTTAATATTCGCAACCGTTATTTATTAGAAATGTAACAGCTGTTTCAATGAAAGCGTTAAGGCATCCATTCTATGTGCGCTTGAATTGAAATGTCTAGATTGTTGCTTTTGCAATATTTCATTGCATCACAATGCGGACGAGAATTCGTATTAGAATATATTTAATAGTTTGCGCAACAAAATTAACAAAATATAGTGAAAAACGACATTTTCACAAGTCTTACTCAAACTTTTGAATAAAAGTTGCAGTTAAGACTACTATACTGCGAAAAAACTTTTAGTTTTAATGTACACATTGTAATCAAAATTATTAATTGATGTATATGTGACAAGTTTAGAGTAAATTTGTCTTCGAACACTTTAAACTGTATTACCATTTTGTTAAGAATAATACGGCCGATGTTTTGAAGCTATTTAATTGTAGGTATCCCTGTCAGAATAATAAAAGCTTCGTAAGAAAAAGCCAGGTATACTCCTGATACAGTAACGATACATACGGCTGCGTTATTCCAAAGAAAATATCTAAAATTGGATTTTGCACGTTATTTACCAGGTGACACTTGTCCCTGTACCATTTTAGCGTCAAGACACATTGCGATGCATGCACACGGTCGCGTATCATTTTGCGTCTAAACCGATATGATACGCGTTTTACAATTTATATGTCATTTCCTATAAGAAGTTAATCCACAGGGTGCTCTAAGGCTTTGCCTTCCATTGCAGGCACTTGGTACACGCTTCGATGTTTCCAAAGCTAAGTAAAAAAAAGTATTGCGAAGAATGTACGAAAGGCCTTATACCTACTCTTACTGTTACGTGTAAGATTAAATATATATTCCAGGGTACATGTTACGACATATTGTAACTATATTTACTTAAATTTACGTATTTATTACTTTTATGTATTGTTGCATCTAAAAAATATATTCCTTTATTCATTTCACAGTGTCATTTTATTTGATCCCTGATCACTGAGTTTGGGGTTCCTGACAAGTATCCTAGCGGTTTTTCAAGTTCAAATTTTTGTCTCGAACATTGAAGTTACTTAGGTATATCACATGATTGTTCTCCAATGGTACCATTCCTCAAACTTGAGAACCACAGCACCTAGATTAGGTCTGACTGTATTAAAAAAGTTAATTAATCGCTTCTAGTGTAACCTGGGTTCCCTACCTTTCCCTAATAAGGGTGAAAATAAAAGAAGGTAGGGCGGTTAACTGATTTAATTAAAAAGAGAAATGAATCCCAGGGTACATAAAAATTTATGAATACGTGGGCTCCGGCCTAAAGGTACGGATCGTTAGCACTCCCGGGGTTATGCACTCCCCTGGGTAAAGGCCGGCTGGAATGTAGATAGCCGGCGCCTTGTCGTGTCGGAGACGGAAGATGTTGAAGGAGGACTCCGACGGGAAGTGAACCCGGAACTGCGGCTGCCAGGCACGACGCGCGTCGCTTGAAGTTGGTGTTTGCCACGTAGTGGCCGAGGGTTTTAAACCCTAACGGAGTTCCTGTAACATGTTACAGTGCGGGTATACTGCGCTGCTGTGCACGCGCCCGTTGCGATTCCGTCCCGGCAGCTTAAGGAATGCTTTACCCAATGAGGGAACGCTTACGTATTAATCCTGCTGCCGGGAGAAATCACAACGGAATTTAAGCTGAAAAAAAAAAGGTTAAGTACTTGTGGGTAGGCAGAAGGCACCCACAAGCAAGAACAAAGCTACATAAAACGAAATAAATACAATTGTGAAATGACACGTTGACTAAAAGGAAAGTTCAAAAGGTCAAGTCACGTAAAACCGCGTGGCATCGCATGTGCCTTCGTTAATTACGCGGATTCATCAAAATTAAATAACTGGCTGCTGGATTGTTGCTGCCAGCCGTAAGGGAACGTATTTGTTTGACCTAATGATGTACAGGAACCGCGTAATTAACGAATGCACATTCCGCGACCGCCATTTTACAAAAATAGCGAATTACGAAAATAAGTGGTGTGGTATTGGAATACTCACCCGAATACGGGAACTTCTTATACTCACAAATTGTTAATTTCAAAAGCAATTGTCGTAGTTGCCGAAATGCGGATTTATATTTGCAAATTAAGTAATTAGGAGCGCGCGTAGGCGATGCCGGCTCGTGAGAAATGTGTGCGCGGGCGCCGTCGCAACTCCTTTTATATGCGAGCCGCAGAGAATCCACGCGTTCGCATTAGCACTCGTTAACCGATTATGTAAAAAAAAGAGGTATGTAACGTTTTTCGTTACACTAGTCGTAAAAAACAAGATATAGTCGTTAGCTGCTAAAATAAGCTTATTCCGGCGTGAATGGTAACTCTTACTATTCGCTAATGAAAAATTACAAGGGCGTTTGTTTGAACCGCTTAATTAAACGGCGACCTGACTAGTCAAATTTCAAAAACTTCAGCATGGTCACACTGAAATATGGGGACACACCGTTCACTGCACTAAAAACAATAATAATTATTTAGTCGTTCCTAGTCATAACTCTACTGTCGGTCGCTTCTGTTTAAACATTTATCGGAGGTCTTACTTATTTTATTGAAAGATACTTTAACGTAGAAAACCGTTATACGTAGTTATTGCTGCTAAGTATGTATATGTGCCAGACAACCACACCAATTGTCTGGTCTCAAACTAGGATATTTTCTGCACTATGAATACCGGAGCAACGAAATTCTGGGGCACTTCCCAGAACACCCAGACTAAAACCAATTTAAAAAAGTTGATTTCCAAATCGGTCCCACCGGGAATCGAAAACGGGATCTCCAAATCCAGCACTCGCAATATAAACCGTTAGGCCGCCGAGGTCGTCGAATGTGTAAAATACGGCGTAGTTTAATCAATCCTGGTCGCAAAATTTTACGCACTCTACTATTAATTAATTAACTAAAAAGTAAGTGTACTAATAATAAAAAAGAGGATAGTAATTGAATAAACACTGGCGGTGAGCGGTGCACATATTTTATTGTACGGCACTTACATTATCGCTTTATTCAAATTGATACTAACATCGCTCCGCTATCTCCAACAATGTCCGCTGTACCAAACGGCGCGTGCGCATGCACTTCCATTTGGAGCAGCGGATGACAATCGACAACTTGTGATCACTTGACAACTTCGTAATGAACCCATTTATGGAACCACCACAACCATGAACAACTCTGAGGTAATATTGCTAATTTGTTAAAAATCGATTTGATGATAGTAGGAATTTCGTAGAAATAATGACGTTCGTTCCGGCAAAATCTTCATTACAAAGTTGTCACGTGTTTACAGCTAAGAAATAATTAATATCTATATATAAGGCCGATTACACACGGCGCTGCGACGGCGACGGCTGCATTTTTTGCCGCCGCAAAAGTTGTGGTGTCATGCCGTACCACTAGTGGCGCGGCTGAAGCCCAGGCGGCGTGATCAACTGAAATCGTACATTAGTAGAAAATTGCGGCAGCGCTCGCCGCCGCCGCCGTGCGTGTATGAAAATATGTAAACAAATGCAAGGGCGACTGCAACTGCGACACCGCCGCCTGTTGTTAGGGCGCCCTGTGTAATCAGCCTAAAAGACACGTGGTGTGCAACGGCAACATGATGTAAATATAAGGAATGATGTAATCCTATTTAACGTCTATCTTTCTGGTCTGAGTTTGTATTATAGTAACACTGGAATGTTAAATACACCGTTCACATATCAAAGTGCGGTAACTATTCTAGACGGAATCATTTAACCTACCGAAAAAACACATAAAAAAAATAAAAATACCTTATGACATTGCTCAACAAATTTGTGGTCGTAAAAGACATTCACACAATATTAAGGGTCGTATTCTAGAACTCTACTCAATGCTCAAGTCAGGATTTGAGTATGGTTTAAAGCGCTCGAAATCATACTAAGTCCCTGCCATTAGGGTCGTATTTCCAGTGCTTGTGTTTCCAGTGCAATCCTGACTTGAGCATTGAGTAGAGTTCTAGAATACGACCCTAAGACGCACAATGAAGTCACAACATTCAATTCTCCGTGGTTTAAAAAGCGAACAATGTGAAATCTGTTATTTTTGTACTTTGTTCAATAAATAACACAAAAATTTTATAAAACCAACCAGCAACTACAATTACTATGGACTTCACAGTTTAACTTCAAAAACAAAACAGTCTGGGAACGCAAATAAAACGGAACTGAATTAAAGCACTACTACATAACACTGTATTGCATTTACTATTTACACCACTCCTTATAATAATTAAAATAACAGTTATATAAATCTGTAAATAGGAATTACAAATCACTGGTAAGTATTTTAATTCCTTGGATTGTACATTTTCTACAATTTTTTATTTAATATCCCAAAAGCATCATTTTCCGAAGCTCCGACGCATGACGTCATCGCTAGGACATGCGAACATGGCAATTAAAGTTGCCGCCTTTTTTTAATTTAGGAAAGGCCTTTTCAATTCAATCTGCTGTTTGACGTGAATTGAAAAAAATTTTCAATTGCAAAAATTAAATTTGCCTAAAGAGGCAAAAGAGGTAATTTTCTTAAATTTGCCGCCGCTTATCGTTTCTTGTCTGTTGTAACAGGGGTGGCACGCCCAGAGCCGACTACTGAGTAGATAATATAAACTGTTCTCCTTAAGTGGAGTCATTGGCAGTTTCATACTTTTATTCCCTTTACGTCGAGTTTTTAATATCGTAAATAAATAATTAGAACTATATTTATAGACAATGAGACTAAGTTAGCGATAATTACACACCATAATGCAGTAAATGAAAATTATTTGCAAATATTATTATTGCTTTCTTTTCATTTTTGATAGTTCTACAGAAAACTGGACGTAAAAAGTCACGCAAACGTCTAAATTAACCCAGAAAAGTTTTTAAGACTCGACCTAAAAGGAACCGCTCAATTATAATAATAATGATACACGACGGTGAAAAACAGAGATCGAAAAAGGTAGAGTATATTTACCTAAAGTAATACTTGCCTCCCCATTGAAATCGTGAAATTGTATTGTATTGTGTTGTATTTTGTTCTATATTTTTATATTTGTCACTAGCAATTACTTTACTACGGTAATGTATTTAGAAGAAAAAATTGTAATCGTAATAGTAATAATAAATAGCTAGCCTTAATAGCCCCACTGCTGAGCACAGGTCCCCTCTCCCAGTGAGAGGGGGCTCGGGCTGTAGTTTTCACACGAATCCAATACGGATTGAGAACTTCACACACATCATTAAATTGCTTTGCAAATGTGTGCAGTTTCGCCGCGAAATCTTACTTTCACCGAAAAGCTTATAGTCAATTTCAAATTGAGACATAAATTCAGAAAAACTCGCGAGGCCGGATTCGAACCCCCTCTGCTTGAGAAGCGGTAGTTGAAACCAGCTATCCGGCTTTTGTAATTGTAAATAAAAAATATATATTTTCATTTATTTTTAATCACTCCTGGAAATCAGGGGGAGGTGTATCGACTCTACGTGTATTACTGTAAGTTTAGGTAACTATACTCACAATGTACCGATCTCTGATGATAATAGAATACATAAAAACAAAAGCACCTTATACAGATCATTTGTACCATGAATAGCCACTAAAACGTAGAATCCCGAACAACTGATCTGTAGATGGTTAGATTTGCAAAAACCATAGTTAAAAATTCAATGTTCATCAAAATTGATTAAATTCTACATTATTTCTTCAACAAAACTGCTCACTTGTTAAAACCAATTAGTAAGTTTTAATTATATTTATACGAACCTTGCAACAAGATAACTAAACAACACATAGTGCTACAGTGCTTCTAGTGAAGTGCACATTAAAATTTGTTACACTAAACTAACCTATTCTTAGAATTTTAAATTTTAGGCACAAATATTAGAATACGATGTGTACAAAATTGCATTATAATTGTTATAAATGCATGCGAAATTAATATTTGATATTAAGGCCCATATTAATAAACTCATTTCGAATGCACGATCGATATTAAGATCTTTCTTAAGTCTTTATTAATAAATATCACTGGAGTGCTCATTTCAGATTATTAATAAACGTATCTCAGTATTTAAGTTACGGTTCAAGATCGTTGTTAAATACATATCAATCAAGTCTTGGTAACTTAAGATTACATCGCCTAAGATACCGATGACTGTAGTCTATTAATGCAGGACACCTTGAGATACATTCGGATACCGAGATGCACTTAATACCGGAGTAATAAGTTGGTTACTAATATGGACCTAAGAATTGTGACAACTAGTAATACACATAACAATCTCCTAATAACAAACATTGTCGACAAATACCGTGCATTTATTTTATTAAAATGTATTGCTCAGGCGACAGCACCTTTTGCACGCAACGATGGTCGGACCAAGTGAGAAGGACAAGGCTACGTAAATACTACAATATCATACAAGAATGAAACAGCTACATTCAATGTTAACGCTGTTTGTTATTAATTATCTAAAGACATGTTTTGTGAACGAACTCGGACGGGAGACAATGGTCAAGTTGTTTGTAATTTCTCACGAAAGAAAAAATAAATGGAAGTGCCCTACACCTCGATTACTATATTCTGATAGCTGTCGTCAAAATGCACACAAACAAATGATAAACGCTATGAAATCTTAATAATGATTGGTGGTAGTTTCTAATTTATAAAGACGTAACAAATTCTGGACTGTTAATATAATTTAAACTTTACCCAGTCCCTATATTGTTAAAAGTTCAATACCTTAATTGCAAGTAACGACGTTTTGATTTTATATTGAAATGTTTTCAACGTGCTGCCACTTGCGGCCGTTAGTTGGACTACAACGAACGAATACAAAGTAGTCTCTTCTCGACAACAGATATTTTGTTCAACACACACATTGCAAACTGAACTTCGATCAATTAAGTTTAAAATAAACACAACACTAACAATTCGATAAACAGAAAATTGAAAATTTATTAAAATAAGACTTATCGATGATATGAAATACCACCAAGGGTTAATATTTTTGGTGCTGCTATCATTTTTGCACTTCAAAATAGCTCATCAGGCATACTCTAGGATTTTAGAGAAGTTGCGCGAAAGAATTTACACAACCATACTGTACAAAGCGAAAATGGCGAACCGAGCTCAAGTAGGCGCAACTACGTCTACAGTTGGCACGCGTGTGACACTAACTAATCACGTGTACTGTATTTATAGTTCTGTGTTATTTTTTGTAGAGCATTTCTTTCGATAATGTCAGAAAACGAAAAGAATTGTTGTAAAAACGAGTCTCCCGCCACCCAGCCAAGTCCCCCTCACACGAAGTCACGCCGCACAAACGTATAAGGCCACAAGTCCTGTAGCAAAGTATGACTAGAATCAAATCTCCGTGTAATACGTCGGCCGGTTGATCTTCAACAGATCGAACACATTCGGGAACAAGCAGGTCGTGTTGAAACCTATCAACCCGTAGGTGAAATATTTGTAACTCAGTTCAACGACGATTTTGTTCTTGTTGTCGAGGCTGTTCTCGGAGTTCCTCAGCTCGTTCTTGTCCTTGCCCAGCAGGGCGCAGACGAAGGCGTAGGACAGCGACTTGGCGATGGCCCTGGTGGCCACCACGCCGCAGAAGCCCAGAGTGGTGCGCAGCAGCGTGCAGCCCAGCATTTCCACCGAGGGCCAGATCACCGCGTAAGGAGGCGGCGATTGGGGCGGCTGCATGTTCCCCACTAGGTAGTTGGTCCAAGACCCCGCCAGGATGCCCGCGCACACGCTCACTATCATCGTCGTGTCGCCCCTGGAAAGTGTCGATCATTGTGTCAACGTATATAAAGCTAATATTTTTTTTATGATACGAAATGAATGATATGGGACTTGTCAACTTATGTCTGAGGGTGACGGACGCAGTGGCAGTGCCCCCCAGATCTTTGCGCTTTAAAGCTCTGAGTGGCACTGCAACTGATATGGCCAGGCGTGTCGCTTAGCACCAGGCCCATGACTTGCTCGTCCCGTCTCTTGGCATCATAAAAAAGAAATCACCAGCACCCTTACCCTTCAAAACTGAAACGCGCGTGCGTGCGTGCGTGCGTGCGTGCGTGTGTACGTGCGTGCGTTCTTGCGTGCGTGCGTGTGTATGTGTGTGTGCGCGCGTGTGTAATTTGTTTTCGTCTGTCATTTAATTTCCAATATGTTTTTAACAGTAAAGTATTAAAAAAATCAATAGCAAATGGCTTTTATTACTCTTTTTACTTTATAATGTGAAATATAGGTAATTTATTTATATACAACGTTCATAGTAAAACGTCCGACACACACGTAATCAAAATCATTGCAATACCTTATGTAAGAAAACATATACTATGCTGTTATTACGCGTAATGAGGGAACGGAATCTATTTATGTATAAATTGTTATGCAATACGTAGCCTATTGTATATAGTGACCAATCTACTGTCACTAGGTGTGCACTGTGGAAACAGCAAAACCACCCCCGCCACCTGATTTCATCACCCCTCAAGATCAACTACCAACAGGTTGCGATTTGCGGTGGCCCGTGTGGAAGTCCATAAATCGACTTCGCACTCAGGTAGGACTCTGCAGATAATAGAAAGGATAGAAAGAATAGGGTTTCAGGCATGCTAGTTCAACCCAATGTGACTACGGTGCCCCAACACATTCCACGCAGCACTTACTGTTCTGCCCCTTGTGCCCTAAAACGTGTACGAAGGAAGATCTCTACGCGGCCACGAGTGACACAGTCAAGGTGGCAACATACTATTCAAAGTCAATATAGATTAGAATAAAAGACGTATCGACACGATAACAAGAAACAATATACAGTGTGGAAAAATCAATGTGAACATGAAATGGAATCCTTAAATGCTTACGATAGCTAATTTTACTTAAAGGAAACATTCTTTTTAGCCGACTTGAAAACCGGAGGAGGTCCTTCAATTATTTTTTGGATGTGTGCTACGCGATAACTCTTTTTTAATTTGTGAACCGATTTTGCTGATTTTTGTTGGAAAAAGGGTGGCGAACCTCTAAGGGTGGCAAACTAGGTGATGAATGACTTTTGAGGTCAATTTTTTTAGTACTCTGTACTGAGATTATATTTTTCTTAATATGAATGACTGCATTACAGATTTTTTGAAATCCTAAAAATGAAAAAAATAAATCTCTCTCTATTTTATTATACTAATTGATAGCATCAATGATGAGGATGAAATCTCTCCAATAAACAATGGGAATTACAATACAACAATGAAATCTTATTAATACAAAACAACTCTCATCATCATTAAGTAGTTAAAATCAATTTCATTTTTAACACGTTTTTTAGCCTCTGTAATGTTTTATGCATACATCGAGTATATAACCAGAAATAGGGACGAAATAAGGGCCACATATTCCTGGCAATACATTAGCGATACAGCTCTTATAAATATCAACTCTCGTTTCCACTGAAATATAGACAGTCCAACTACTGACCTGTGTGTACGTCTCCGTATATTCCAAACAATATTCTGTGTTTATTGTAATAAAAATAATATCTCTAACAATGCCGTGCTCTATATTTGGTGGTGTGATACACCATCACAAACATCTAATTACAAAACAAACCGAATCACATTTCATCGGTAATTGAATAAATAAATAAATAAATATTAAATATGTAATTATGCAATTTTCGTCCATTATAGCAAAGCTCAAGTTAACTGGTGGATTTGAAGTGCAACAGTTGACGACACCCGTCAATTGTTTTAAAACAAATTAAATGACATTTCGTCTCCATTTCTGGTTATATACTTGATGTGTGCATATTTCGTGGATAATACCTTCGTGGCCTTCGTATTAGAATGGACGTCTTTAATTGTAAGATCCAAAGTTTATTGATGGTATTTTATCCTTATCATTGTTTGTGTCGATTAGTAGAATAAAATAGAGTTTGTTAATTTTTTTTTTAATTTTTGGTTGGTACGATTCCCGGCTCATGTAAGCTTATCAAAAAATATGTGAATGCATTCACAAGATACATGCCGAAAATCAGTGTGATCATATTGCTATATTCACTAATAGCGTAGAATAATTATGTAGGCAGACTGGTAAATATTTAGAATTAGAATAGTAATCGTAATTAAATATATTTATAATTATCTGTTTATGACACGTAAGCGTGTTGGCTATTTACCTGTAAGTTTGGAATGTAAATGAATGAATAAATAGTGTGTACTGTATTCATATTAAGAAAAATAATAGAATGTTTCTTTTAAGTACAATTAACTATCTTAAACATTTAAGGTAGTTTCCCTTCATATTCTGTTGATTTTTTAAACCCTGTATACTCTATATAACTAGGTTGTAAGTTGAAATATTGTTCAATTCCAGAGAGAGAATTCAAAGAGATTTCTGAGATTGGTTACCTGGTAGGGGTCCACTTGTCTGCGTTGGGATAGAACACGATGACAGCGATGGAGATGACCAGAATGAGCAAGGGCGACCAGTGGCTGGTGAGGATCAAGCCGTCCAGGTAATCCACCAGTGGAATTAGGATCACTAGCAAGCCAGATGAGAGGAGCAGACCTGCTGCGATGTCCTGAAAGTTAATAAGTGATGGTTTTTAACAAGAATAGCAAAACTAATCACAAAATAGAACTTTTTTTAACTACAAGTGAAATATGTTTGTTTGCTATTACAAATATAGGACAAGGAGTGTTGATAGGAAAGCCGAGTTGCGACGTTTGAATTAATTATAAAAAACGCTGTTTATTCATCGGATGGTGTTGCTCATTCAAATTGCCTTTATTTCATACTGATTGAATTCTTTCAAAATACAGATTTCCCTGAGTAAAATAAGTAAGATTCTATGAGTTGCTCTTTGTAAATAGGCATTTCTTCACATATACCATAACAACATGAACAACTCAACTTCAACTTTTGTATCTATGGCTCCGTCGTTTTGCGCAACGATTTCGAAAGAGTTAAACGGATCACTCCCATGGATTTTGTAATCCAAAAATGCAGAAGTTGTGTAATCTTTAGTATAAAGTGTTTGTTTTACTATAGTTTAACACTACCTACTATATTTATATTTTAATATCATAAAATCGTCAATGGCAAATTTTGAATATCGACAAGAACCTTAATATAGAAGTGTATATAACAACCTTTTAAATGAATTCACAAGTTACTTCCTAATTTTAACTACTCAAACTTAAAATTGTAACACTTACCAACACACTATGCATGCCTAAATAGACCCTACTGACGCATATTAGGGTACACCACGAGACTGCAATGAAAATACCCCAGTGCGAGGGGTACTCGTACCGGTCCATAGTGTACAGCAGCACCGAGAATGGTATGGAAACGCCCACCATGGCGTGCGTTGACGGCATACCGTACTCTATCGCCCACTTCGTTTGTAGTTTTTTGACAGGATAGCCTGGCCGAGGCCAGCGGATTATGTCTTTAAAACCTTGGCCTAGAATTAGGAAACAAGTGGCTGTTAGATATTGTGTCACTTGAGGCATTGCCAATGTTAAAAGTATTTTCTTATGGCATGGATGAACAAAAGGAGTATTAAGTTGAATAACAGGTGATTTTCGTTGTCCAGAGCAATGAATTGAATTTTAACTAATGACGCCATTGACGTTACATAAGGTGACGGTTTGGCCTTGATAAATTAATAAATTTTTTTGAAAACAAGTTATGTTTCTGTCTATAGTCATCTAACTTTAGTTATAAAGTGTTGATTTAATTAAGAATAAAATACATAGTAATGTAACTGTACACTTCTAAATTAAATAAAAACACCATAAACAAGAAACCTTCATAAACAGGAGCAATAAGCAACAAACCCTGAACTCTGATAAAATATTAGAGGAAAACAAATCCTTTAAAGTCAATTAAAAATCATTAACATGCTGCTAATCTAGTTACTGGTCTATTCATTTGGAAGGCATGCTTCTACAAAAAAAAAGATAAAACAGCAATGCTGCTTCTGTTGGCATAATAATTATCATGTTCAGAGCAAAATCTCAAGTTCATATTACGTTACTTGTAATTTCAACTCATTAATTATATTTGCTGTAGATGTTGAGATTGTTCACAAATTAATATAATATGTAAACAAAATTCACATGTCTAGAAACTATATCGTCCCTGGAAAGTAGTAAAGTGCTATTTTGGCCTTTTGGAAGTTAGTAATTTCACCTTTCCAGGGACAATATACATTTTTAAACTTCACATAATTTAAAGCACAATTTTATATTTGTTTTAAATGTCAATTAAATCAAAAAATTACATAAAGATACACAAAAATGGCACTAGAGTTTAACAGGATAAAAAATCAAATCTTATGAGTTTTAACTGCTGCTCTGCATTGCATTTCCATACTGAATTTCAGCTTGGTCATGGTCCAAAGGAGTCATGCTCCAACACTTAGAGTCGTATTCTAGAACTCTACTCAATGCTCAAGTCAGGATTTGAGTATGGTTTAAAGCACTCGAAATCATACTCAAGTCCCTG